AAACCTGTTCCTTTGAGAGAGAGAGAGAGAGAGATGCTGAGAAGGAGAGTGATGTTGAGAAGGAGAAAAAGCGAGAGATAAGGAAGAACGGTTGGAGAAAAATAGGGAGAGAGAGAAGAACCGAGGGAGAGATTGACAGAGAGAGAGAGAAAATGAAATGACCACAACATAGGCCAACTTTAACTTGTGCCTTCAGCTACATTCCTGTATGATTTGCATGGGGTACTACAGCTGCTAGTTTGGTACGATATTTATTTTTGACCGTTTGTTTTTTCTTTTCGCAGCTAGTCTTTTGCTTAATTTTTCTTTGGAATTTTTTTTAGAAATTTATGATTTCCTTTATTCTTTCTTTCTTTATTACCCTTGCCACATTTGTGGGGTTTTACTTAGGTGGTGATCTGATGGATAGCAAGGTCGCTGTTGAAAATTTGAAGTGGGTGCCCTTTCCTTTGCTATAATCTGGGCTTAGGGCTCTAGTGACGGTTACTTTGCTCCGTGGTCTATGAATCATGTCCTTTTCTTTGGCCACTACAACCGGTTTCCTAGAATCCGACCTTCCGATCTATGTACATTCGCTTGGTCCTTTTGGCAATATTTCTTTCCTCCAGGTTGGACTTCTCTAAGTAATACTTATTCTATGCACTGCTATTCATCTAGTTCCTCTTCTTTACGACTCAAACAAGACACCTGAAGAGTCTGGTTTGGCGGCCTGATAAAACAAGGCGTAGGGTCACTGCGCCTAAATTTTCACGTTTCATCTGACAATGTATCTGCAAGTGCTTTTGTTGATAATTCTTACCGCTATTTGGTCGTGTTTCAGGAATTTCGGGACGCTGTCTCTCTCTCTCTCTCTCTCTCTCTCTCTCTCTCTCTCTCTCTCTCTCTCAACTTTCTCAATGGGCGAGAAATTGCCTTATGTTAGGGTCAGGCCCAACACCAATTTATGCTTGCCTTATGGATCACCTATGTTGTTTTGTGCCCAAGAAGGGTGGAGTCGTGTACGCATTGGCTACAATGGGGTAAAAAACATTCCTTGTTCTATTGTGAGCAATCAATTCTTGCTTGAAGTTTCCAATCAAGTGTGAGATGATTTCAATCAAGCCTGTGTGACTGGTGATAATAGACTTAAAATGGTTGGCATTATTTTAACAATCAACCCAGGAACCTCTCGTTCTGGGCCTCGAGCACCACGTCACAAAAAAAACAACCTGAAGTTTCAACAAAGGGGTGTCAACCGACAACTGCTTCTTACTTGTGGTCAGGACACTTGAACATACCTTACTGTATAAACTCAAATCTAGGATTGAACATGTATGTGTCTCACTGCAGCTGCAAGGTTATTTCAGTTTCACAACAAACTTTAATTCTAATAACTCATTTTGCCCATACTTGATGCAAAGATCAATCCAATGACAATGTGGAACTTTCAAGGCCCAAAGGCTCGTGGAAAGCAATGTGTGAGTGAGCCAAACTGAAACTATAATTACAAAAGCCGAGAGCTCGCAAATTGGGAAGCACCACTCAATTATCAATAAAACAACAATCTAATATCCCTATTATGATATGTTTGTTTGTACTACTCCACATTCCTTTTGAACACACTTGTCAACTACCTCTCATATTGTCCACATGTCTTTTCCCCAGACGCTACCGACGATCTGCTCACACATGTACACCTAACCAGCATGAGGTAAGGACCACCAATTTGCATTGTTTTCGTGCTCTTCCCTGAATTCCTCTAACACCCAGCAATCACTTTCCCGCTCAGTGCTACTGTAGCATGCTGAGGCTACTACACAGGCATTGTTTTGGGGTCCGACGATTGTTCCACGCCCCCAGGCCGCGCACCCCTTTTTGGTGAGCGACTCGGAGGGCCACGACCATTTTTCCAGATCAGGCACACATTTAGTTCCACTTGTGCTCTCCTTTATTAAATTTTTTTTCCTGGTTTTTCTTTTCCCTCTCTTTTCTTTATTTTTTTTTACTATTATATGGATTCGAACTTGAGTCTGTATTTCAACAGGTTCTGGGTGTACTAACTGAGTTAGGCTCATTGGTTCTCTAAGTGACTTATTTTTGTCTGTTTCAGGTGTGTCGGTTCGGACTTTTCGTTTTGTCCGAATATGCAGATGCCTGTTTGGATCATTGGATTTCAGTTCCGGCCGTTGTAGGTCAGGTTCAAATTTGTCCATATGTGGGACTGGACCAGACATTCGTCTGTTTGTGACTGTCCTAGTCCTCAGGACCCTGCTGCATTAGCAGGGTTGTTTGGACATCCGGTAGACACCAAGGTAGGTCGTTTTGGCCAGGATCGTTGGACCAGGACTTGGGCCTATGCTCAGGACCATTGATCGGACATCAGATCCAACGGTCCTGATTGCAAACTAAGGGCTGGTCAGCCAGGCCCAACGGTATATAGCTGGGCAAGCCCTCCACTTTAAGGGCATTTGGGCTAGAGCCTCAGTTAGGCGTCACGCTGCTGAAGTAGCGCCAGATATTGGAGAGTTGTGATAGTGCAGCGTTAGAGAAGTAAAGGAGTAGGCAAGGGTGGAGAGGTTGGCGGAGGGCATGTCCAGGAGGAAGAGCGAGACTTACTTGGGTGCCATAACTGAGATTCATACCGGTCATGCGACCGACCTTCAGCACCAACCTGCAGCCGGAGTGATCACCTTTGCTGGTCAGTATTCGTGGAATCACCGTCAGGAGCATGTGAGAGATGATATATATTTTTTTCTCCTCCTCCTGATTCTTCGCCGCACCTCCATTGCCACTAATTTTATTTTTCTTCTCCGCCTTTTTTTTTTTTTTTTTCCAAAGAGTTGGACCATTTCCCAATTTATGTGTCTCATCCTTCCGCAGGGGTTATGCCAATCTTCTTTGTATCGTTCGAATTTTAATGGATGTCCCTAAGGACTGTTCTTCTTCTTAATAGAGAGGGAGATAGATTTCAAACAGTGACTATTTAAGAGATATATGCGCCCAGAATCCAATTCGATATTTTTGAGAACAGACATTGGCTGAATATTTGATGGGGAGACTATGTTGACTACGAGTTCTATGCATATGCTTTCCCCTCCATTTTCGTCTCTCCTTCGTCTTTATCATTTGTGGTTGCCTCCCTATGTGTGTGTGAAAGGAAGGACCTTTCTTCTGTATATAATTCTTATTCTTACTGTGTGACGTGTGTGATGATGATTGTGTCAGTCGAGTCTTGATCCGATTTGTCATATCATATCCCGAAGTGCATTTTCTGTACCGAAACACTGAAAGTACTTTGGGAAATGATTCTGTAAAAAACTAAGTAAAACACTCAAATCCTGAAGTGCATTTTTCGTACCGAAACATCAAAAGCACATTAAGATATGACTTCACAAAATACCTAAGCAAAACACCGAGATTGCGAAGTACGTTTTCGGTACTGAAACACCGAAAGCACTTCGGGATATGACTTTGCAAAAAACATTAAGTAAAACACCGAAATCCGGAAGTGTGTTTTCGGTACCGAAACACCGAAACCACTTAAATTGCCTAAGTAAAACATTAAAATCCCGAAGTGCGTTTTTGGTACCGAAACAATGAAACCACTTTGGTATATAAGCACTCAAATTGCCTAAGTAAAACACCGAAATCCCGAAGTGCATTTTTGGTACCGAAACACCGAAACCACTTTGGGATATAAGCACTATAAA